CTCCTGGCCAGTCTACGACAACAACCACTTCTGACAGCATATGCCATGTGTCCACTAAGGACTTATCATTATAGCTATAGGGGCAAAGGCTGCCCAATGGCAGCAAGCCCTTGGACTGGATTTGGCAACCGTGGGGCAAAACCTGCATTTCCTATCTACAGGCCCTCATGTCATGCAGCACCAAGTTCCTCAAAAGCCCATCTGGCTGAAAGCTCAAGCGAGCAGAATTCTCCTTCCAGCAAGGTGTCTGTTGGAGGATTGTGCCACAGCCAGCTGAGAAGTTGGCTCTGCCTTTCTCACGACTGTCTGCCCAACAATGTGATAAACTTACACACACAGCGGTGCTTGTGGAAGCACAAAGAAATGTTAGTATTCCAGAAACAAACCATGATATGATGGTATGTGTAAACCATGGGGTCTCTGTTGGCACAGCTCTGTTAACTAGTCCTCTTGCTCGCGGGATTTTTTCTGTCAGCTTATCTACAACACTTCCATACATGACATGAACTGAGGCCCCCCACCCAAATACTCCACCAGCGGGTTTTTTTTTTACCCGCATACCTTGGTCAGCTAGGACATGGGACTCTGCTCACACTCTTAGCCAAAGCAGCTGTGCTGGCAGAACTTTATAGTGTGAGCCAAACCGCAGCAGAAAGGGAAGTTTCTAAGCATTTGACTCTCAGATGAAGAAACAGATTCAGGTTTCCTGTTCTGGGGACTATGCTTCTTGTGCTAGAAATATTAATATTAGTAGTATTAGAAGCATTGTCCTTGCTTAGTAGGGTCTGGAGGGGGTCCAAGAGGCTGATGTGATCAGGACCATTTCAACCCCCCAGAAAGTTCAAGGCTCCAGTTCTGGCTTTTAAGGACATGGTTCTATTCATCTCTGGCCCATAACTTGGGCTCATCTCTCCTTCCATCTCATCCCATTTGCCCCGCAGTTTGGGATACTCTGGGGTTTTGTGCAGAGGGTTTTTACTAAGATCTGATGGCCCGCAGAAGCAAGCCACAAAAGTTACAATGGAAAATTTATCCCAGGGACTTTAATGACACCAACACTGGTTCCTTTCTCAAGGAAACCTCTGCCAAGGACTTTGGTATTTGTACTGAGCAGGCCTTGGGTTTAGGCAGCACCCAATGCTTATCCCTTGTGGGTCCCCCTGAATCCCCCTAGGGCCCTAGCACATGCGGTAGCCTTTTATCCATTGTAGATGGTTATCGACAGGTACAGCTGCTCCGTGTGCAGCCCATCCAGGCAGGGAGACATCTTTAAATGTTAATGTCTTTATTATAGGGCTGTAATTGTCCTTACATGCAGCTCCAGGCAGAAATTTAAAATTCCCTTAATAGCTCGCTTAGCCCCACAGCTCTGCGGTCTTCCCATGAACGAGATTTAGAGCCTATTAAATGCATTACATCAAACTGCTTCCTGCCCATAGATCCTAATTAAGAAGCTATCTTTCTACTGGGCCTGGTCTACACAGGAAGTAAATGCACAGTAAGAGACGGTGTGAATTTATAGCATGCTAGCTACTACACACTGATGCCTTGTGTGGACACTCACTTACTGTGCATTAAGAATGCCTCTGGGCAAGTCTCCTCACTCTACTTTGCTAGCATGAGGCCGGCTAAACTAGCTTCCTGTCTCTAACCGTATTCCATTCATGCGTGTTTTATGCACGTCCATCTTGACTTAACCAGCTGAGTTGTGCCTGGGAAACCTAGCAGAAAGCAGAAGAATGACCCAAGATGACAAATGCTCACCAAACACTGAAGAGTCATTCAAGGACAGGGACAGTCAGTTTGATGATTTTGCCTACCTACAAAACAGGTTTTGGCCAGGAAAGGAAAGGGCTCAGGAATGGAGGGAACAAAGAATAGTAGTAGGTTTGAGGAGAGGGGCAAGGAGGGCCACTGGAGACAGCAGCTACAAGAGTCCGAACCCAAGAACCCAGTGGGGAGTCTGAAGTATCTCAGTCTGCCTCGGTCACCATCCCAGGTAAAACAAGTGTCCATGCAAAGCAGGGGTTTCTGCTGCTCTGTTCCTACCGCTAAAGAAGCAATGTTGCAGTTTAAAGAGGACTCTTTTTGATCACTCTTTGCACCACTGGTCACTGATCCACAGGTGACCATACTCAGTTGGACGTGCTGGGTGAGCTCGGTGGATATGCATGACTGGGCCTATTCTAAGAGTGGAAGAACCGTGGAAGAAAGCTGCTGCTTATGAAAGCTTATGCTTCTCGGATATCATTGTAACCTGAAATCAAGAGGATGCAGGCTACAGGCAAGCTGAGAAGTTCCCACAGTCTGTTTTTAAGAAACAGTGCACAGGGAAGGGAGAGATATAGCAGTTCCCTTTGAACTTTGTGTACTATACACAAAGACGCCTTCTTCTTGGAGCTCTCTCACACCTGCATATCAGCAAGTGCACATGATTATATAATATGCACACGCTCCCCCCGAGTTCTTGCCTGTTTTACATAGCTTACATTTAATGCTGCTCTAAAGAGCGACAGCTTTGCAGGCTGGAGTCCTGCATCCTCAAAGCAGCACCACAGGGTGAGTCCCCCCTGCACACATACTTCTGAGATCAGGGAGAGACTAAAACATCTGTAGCTAGCCAGGACAAGAGCACTCAGATGTGCCAGCCCCTGGGCTGTCTGCGGGTGTTTGCTGGCATTGCATGCCCTTGCTTTCAGCAGTATAGATAGTAGACATTTCCAACTTAAGGTGGATGAGCAATGACCAAAGGCCTGACCTCATGGCAAACAGATGGTACAACAGATCATTCAAAGTAACTGAAGCCTAAACAAAATGCATGTCCTGCCACTGGGGGGCGTGGGTAAAAATCCTTAAGTGGACTTAAGCTTGGCATTTGCCTGGGCTTAGATTCAGGTGGGCCAGTGCACTAATTGGCTGGACTTTAGCCCATCCAACTTAGCTATCACAACACCCTGCTTGCCCTGGTGATAGGAAGACTGCATGCCTCAACTCTCCGTGAAATCTCCTAATCAAAACGTTCCATAACCTGCAGGAAGGAGGGCTGCTGAGAACCGCTGGCCCTAGTCCTAGCAGATTCATGTGCAGAAATCACAGGTGCTCATCCAGGGCACAACGGTCTGTCGTGCTGATTGTGGGATCGTGACCATTGCATGGAAGGCACAGGAAGGTTTCTCCACGTTCCGTTAATGATGTGTTTGCAGGGCTCTGACATTAAAATGCACTTAAAAGCTTTTGTTTGTGCGGCATGTAAAGGGCCAAGGATGAAATGAACTGAAAAGAAAATCTGAAGCATTTATAATTCATTTTCAGCACAAGGGATTACCCAAAGAGCAATACAATTTTAATGCGAGCAACCATTAAAACCATAATGGGCAGGGAAAAAAAATCAGACTTCTTCACGTGTCCAAAATATTCGTAGTGAAGATTAAATATTTCAAGATCTACCTCGTGGCCCCCAAATAGCTGGACGAAGTCCCAGGTACTGGACTAGCATGTTGGGAAGGTTTAAAATAGACTTCATGTAAAATGCAGGTCCTGAACCCTTCTAGTCATTAAAGAGCTCTCAGAACTGGTGAAAAGATGAACCGGGCTGTCTGCCCTAGGACGCTACCCATGTCCCAGCTCAAATCAATCTACCTGCTTAAAATCCTCTCGCAGTTTCACTCGGGGAAGTTACTCTTTGTACTAGATTGCTGTGTCGTGCTGCTGTGAGCTGTTACAAAACTTCCATATTCCGCCCCAGCAGTGGAAATTACCCATTTGATAATCATCTCATTTTTCCTACAGCCTGCAAAGGAGGAAAGCAGAGTCATTACTTTAAAATATTTGGGAAACACTTGAACACTTGGGTGAGAAAAAGAGGGAAAGATAGCACATCTCTCACAAGCCTCAGCATACATTGGTGTTGTCTTTAAAACCCCAGGTCCTGGGTTGATGTTTTCATCTGAGAGTACTTGTTTTAATTTTTATGGCGAGTTTTCAGTTGTTTCTCACGATCAGTCAAACAACTGAAACCACAAGCTGTGTGCGCTCTACAGAGGTAAGTGCCAGGATGCAAATCAAGACGCAGACAAACAAAACTAGTATTTTTAACAATCTTGAGGTTTGAGTGGTTGGGGCTGGCCGCACTCTCTCTCGCACAGCTTCTAGTCTGGTACATGGAAATAGGAGACCTGTAAAACAAGAAGCTTTGTTAATACTGCCCTTTAGCCATACCTAAAACTGATCGCTCAGCCTCCACTGAGATTAACGGGTGTCAATTAGTGGTGAGAGTTGATCCATCATTTATGAGCCGTTGCCTCAAATTGAGGGTGACCGTATGTCCCGTTTTTCCTAGGACAGTCACTTTCTAAACATCTGTCTCTGGCACCCGTCAGTTCAGTCAAATGATCACTTCTATCCTGTTTTCAGGGGGATGCCAGGGACTGGCAGAGCTGCCTCACCCCCCACTCCTGCCCTGTGATGCACTCAGCTGAAACAAGTTCAGAGACAGCGGAGTGTGCCAGGGAGCAAGAGTCAGGGAGGCAGCAAAATGTCCTGTTTTGAGACCAGGGAAATATGGCCACCCTGAAATTATCCACACATTTCACACGGGGGTCACAAGCTAAGTAATCAGGAGAGACCAGCTTTAGGTTTCTACTGACTTGGAATGAAATCCTCCTCCCCGCATCGCACTGGCTTGCCCCTGTGAAGTCAATGGAACAACTCACTTTAACCAGGCAGGCAGTATTTGAAATGACAGCTTGGAGATTAATCCCCAGCCCATTTCCAACCCCCTGAGTTCTCTACTGTCTGCACATAGTTACACAGACCTGTGGATGGATGGCTTTAGCATCTTTCTCCCCGAATGCTTCTTCCCCTCGTATACTCTCAAATCCCTTGTAAATGGGGAGGAAAAAAAACCCAATTGTTTTAATATGTCCCTTGAGCTGTGTTTGCTGTTCTGTGTGCTGAGTTTTCAGGTCACTTATCCCCCCCTCCCCTACATTTTTTTTCAGAGTAGCCTCTGAAGAATTGCCAAGAAAACCCCTGCTCCTTGGAAAGCTTCTGAGTCCTGAAGAATCGCAATGGAGATATGTAGCACGAACGAAAATGTCTCCAAATGCAGCTCAAACACCATGTCCATGGAATGCTTCATGGTCCTTAGCACTCCAGCTCAGAAAATAGGTATCACTGTGCTGTGCTGCTTCTTTGGGATTCTGTGCATTTTTGAGAACTCTTTGGTGTTGTATTTGATATTTTCCTCCATCAAGATCAGGAGAAAACCTTCCTATGTCTTCATCAGCAGCCTGGCCCTAGCTGATCTCTTGGCCAGCATTATTTTCGTTGTCAGTTTTGTTAAATTCCACGTTTTCAAAGTGACTGACTCTAAAGACATCTTCTTGCTGAAACTTGGAGCAGTCAACACATCCTTCACAGCTTCCCTGGGCAGCTTGCTGCTGATGGCATTGGACCGATATGTCTGTATCTGCAGGCCGTCGGAGTACAAGATCATCATCACAAAGAAGGCGGCTTTGGTGGCACTGGCTGTGCTGTGGATGACTACCATGGTCATCGCCTTCCTGCCTCTCATGGGATGGAACTGCTGCACCCTAAACTCAACCTGCTCAGAACTGTTCCCCTTTGTTGATGACAAGTATCTGTCGGGCTGGATTTCCCTGGTGATGATTCTGCTCGTGTGCATCATCTATGCCTACATGCACGTGCTGTGGAAGGCTCACAAACATACAGCGTACATGGAGAAGCACCAAACGCAGGCTGTGCAGCAGAATGCCAAGATGAGGCTGGATGTCACCCTTGCTAAGACATTAGCTATCGTCCTTACTGTTCTCATGGTGTGCTGGTCCCCCGTGCTGGCTCTGATGACGTACAGTGTTTTTGTCAACTTAAATAATCGCATCAAGAAGGTGTTTGCTTTCTGCAGCACCCTCTGCCTGGTGAACTCCATGGTGAATCCCATTGTCTATGCCCTCCGGAGCAGGGAGCTGCGCTCTTCCTTGAGGAATGCCTGCTCGTGGTGCAGGAAGAAGCTGAAGATCCCAGGGAGCAGCCAGGAAGTGGACAGCATTCAAAAGTTGTCCACAATAGGAACCGTCTGTGAAGACGCTGGGTGCAGCACCGATTGGCCACAGCTCAAGTCTGAGCTCTGATGGGTGAAAAATATGATGGAATTTGCGTTGCCATTTTTTTTTCTTTTAAAATGAAGAAAATCTAATGCTGCTTTTCAGAGGAGGATCCCAGGAGAATGAGTGACCAAATGACTAGTGTGGGCAGTGGAGCCAGCAGGCTGGGAAGTTAATAGTTAACATTTGCAGACGGTTGTGCGTGGGGCTGTTCACAGCAAGTAAAATACATAGCTGCCGCCACAGAGAGCAGATATACCCACCGTAGCAAAGGCAGGACCAGCTCTGCCGTTGACATCCCAGGGCAGGTGCCACCAGAGAGGATGCAGTAATGGGCACTCTACAAACTCCATTCCCAAATGGATGCATAAATTGGACAATCACCTAAAGTAGCAGTTTGCAGTATATTAGGGCCACTGTCCCTGACTTCTCAGCTGTGCCAGGCACTGATGTCCTTAATATATTCTTGCACTCTGATTTCCTTAAGACTTAATGTGCTGTCTTGTTCAGCCTGTACTACCACTCAACTGCAGGATCAGCCATTCAGACCTCTCTTCTCTGTTCCAGTCACTGGCATCTTCAGTTCTTATCCCACTTCATTCATGTCTTTCTGTCCCTCTCAGTCTTGGCCTCTCTCTTCTCTTCCTCCCTTTTTGTCTCCATCATTCTTCTTCCCTATGCAAGGGATGTCCTGGCTATCCCCACCTCACGTACAGTCATTTCCTGATGTCACAAGTCTGTACGGATCTCTGCACGAAATACCCAGTGTTCACCTCCTCATGCTCATCTGCTTGCTCAATTACCCTCCCATCCTTCCTTCCCATTGCCTGTTTCTACTCGGTGTAGTAACACAGACATGACCAGTACCGGGGAGATCTTGATTGTCAGCTCCCTTGGCATCTTTTTGTCATGCGTTGTTTCATAGCTGTCTTAACTGTTTCATGTAACTGTCCAATACCTGAATGCCCGTTCCAGGTTCAGGATCGCCCTTTCCTATCCTTCACCGTTCTGTCTTTCCATTCAACCTTGCAACTCCTTTTTCCCCACTGTTTATTTATAGATCCCATTTCTATGGGTGTTTCTTAAAGCTTAATTCTGGTCCAGGCAAAATGTGCTTCGACCTACATGACACCCTTGACAGTGACCTCAGACACCGAGTACTTGACAAAGATCTTCCCCTTCACAGTGTTACAACAAATCCTATTGCCATATACACCCCATTACTAACCTATGGCCAGTTGAGATATTATATGATAAGCCACTGTAATGCTAAGACTGTAATATTTTGTATGCAGTTAGGGTTCAGTCCTCCCAGGGACTAAGCACCTCTGAGAGTCCATGAGAGACCTGCACTCCCATTAATCTGAGTAGCAGCTGAGCACTTTGCAGGATCAAGGCTGTACTGTTTGGGACTTTCCTCACATGTCCAGAAACTGTGTGTGTGAAATATCTTTCCAAAAGAGAAAACCGAGTATGTTCGCTACTCATCAAACTAGTAAGACATATTCCACCCATTGCACTGGGTTTGCACCAAAGGAGAGTTTAGCTCTCAGGTTGGCACTCTTGTTAGAGCTATTTTAAGAAAGCACTAGACTGCTTTGTTCAGAAACGCCAGACATGACATGGCCAGGTTTTGACTTGGTAATAATCATAGAAAATGAGGGTTGGAAGTGACCACAGGAGGTCACATCTAGTCCGACCCCCCGCCCAAGAAGATCATCCCAGCCAAGGCTTTGTCTAGTCGGGTCTTAAAAACCTCTTAAGGATGGTGATTCCCCCACCTCTCTGGGTAACCTGTTCCAGGGCTTTACTATCCTCCTAGTGAGAGTTTTTCCTAATGTCTAAACTCAACTTCCCCTGCTGCAACGTGAGACCATCGTTCCTCTCCTGTCATCTGCCACCAAGAAGAGGGTAATGTTGTACCATTATTTCTATAACAGCAATTACACTGGACCCAAGCAAAGTTGCACAAGCACCAATCAATGTGTGCCCAACTCCGCAGCACTTTGCCACAGCCACACTGTTTTTCACTAGCACCGAATTTGCACCTCTGGGTGCTGTATATTCATAAGACAACAGTCTCTCAAGTCTGTGGGAGCTTGGAGAGGGAAGTCAACGTGCAAAGCCTAACAAAGCCTGGTCGGCCTGTTAGTAAGTGACCCCATCCCACCGGCATGGAAACGCACCCACTGTAATACTGTCTGCACACAGGCCTGCAGCAGGACGCACCGCTGTAGTTATACGCTGCACATCTTTGTTGTGTTCAGCTCGCAGACTGCGACCCTGAACCTATCATCACGCCCGTGAACGTCTTATTTATTCAGCAACTGGCTACCTAAACTCTCGACACCGCAAGGCCAGGAGACATGCCTGACGCCTTGGAAAAAACCCCGGAGTCGTTCCAGCAGCAGAACGCAGCATCGCCGGGACTGCGCCGCGCCGCACCGCGCCGCCCCAACGTCACCATCCGAGGGACGCGGGCGCTGCTCGTTCGATGGCTGCTTCGTCATTAAAAAGTTAACTACCCGGCTGCTCTCCTGTCTTCCGTTGATTGGGAAACTCCTGCCTGCAGGGCCCCGGGGCAGGTCTAGCGGGGGCACAAAGCGCTGCCAGCTCCTGCGGGGTCTGTGACCTCACTCCGGCGCTCGGCGAGCGCATCTACACAAGCGGCTCAATGCCCATCGGACTAATTCTGCTGCGCATTAGCGTGGCTGGCCAAAACCATGCCAATGCGCACTAGATTAGTCTAACGGGCATTAAGCATCACAAAAAGCGTTCCTTCATACTAAAGCGCAGCATTTTCGTCCATTGGGCGTCGCACGAGAAACACGCATCGCGCTAAGGCGCAGTATTTCAGCGCGCGCAGCGTCACATAAAGGGCGTTCATCGGCCGTAACGCCCGCAACTCCACGTGGTCACAATGGTGCCGGGCTCCACCCCTCGTGCGCATCACGTGACGGATGCCCGGGTGACGGCGGCCCCTCCCACACGCGCCGCGCGTCACGTGGCCGCGCTATGGTGGCCGGCGGGGCTCACGACACCCGCGTGACGCCCTGAGCGGCCTGTCATGGCGCCGGGCTGGGGGGTGCTGGCGTTGCTGGCGCTGGCGGCCGGGGCGGCGGGGGGGGCCCGGCGCAG